CTCTGTGTATATATATTTTCCTACTGTATCTTCCACTGCATGCATCCAATGAAGTGGGTTTTAGCCCACGAAAGCTTATGCTCAAATAAATGTTAGTCTCTAAGGTGGCACAAGTACTCCTGTTCTTTTTGCTGATACAGACTAACACGGCTACCACTCTGAAGCTTATTCTGTGTTTGATTTGCTGAAAAGGTCAATAACTTTTTTTTCTCTCCTAGTTCTCTTCCAACAATCATCTTTAAAAGTATTAATGTAAATGCTGAGACAAATGTTCAAGAGAGTTCAGCTCCTGTTTAGGTATCTAAACAAAACGGCTCAATTTTCAGAAGTGCTCAGCATTAGAGTGGGACAACATTTTTTGGACAAAACTTTTTCATCGAAAAATGTAGTCAGGTTTACTGACACGTTACGTAAATTTATGCAGAACTGTTCCAGTAAGAAAAAAACACACAATAAAATGTTTCAATATAAAACAAATTTTTGCTTCAAAATTTACTTCGATTTTATTGAAGAAAGGTTAAAAAACTCAAAACCAAACCAAATGTTTTGTTTTGGATCAAATAAAACATTTATTCTGCCCGAAACAATTCCCACACCCCCCGCCATTCTTTGGTTCAGCCAGTGAACCAAAAAATCAGTTATTTACACAGCACCATTCAGCACCGATTGTTCTCAATGGGAGATGCCAGATGCTAAACACTTCTGTAAGTCTGGCTGAGTTTTTATGATAATCTGGTCTTATTTGTGGGTGATGATTACTTCTGACAATCTTGCCCCTCTTCACTATTTTTCCTACCCAGCTTGCACATGCTCTTCCACCACATGCTGTACAAGCAGCGAGATTTGGAAACACAAAGATCTTCATTTCTTTGTATTTGAAGACTTATTTGCATTTTATTTTGAGGATCCTTGCTAAAGCAGCTTCAAATCACATGGAGCAATAGTCTTACCACAAAAGTGCGTTTACCCTTAGGACTATCATCCAAAAGTGAATTCCTTCAGGAAAAATAAAATAAAATATAATAAATAATAATAATAATTAATAATAAGACAAAGAAGATAATTACAGCTGACTCTGACATCAACTGTTGGGCATCTTCAGAACAAAGAACATCAAGTATTTCATGAAGATGAAGAACTCAGCAGCAGATTTTGTATAAGAACATAGCCAGTAGCAAAGAACATATTTCATGTCTCTAATGTTTCTTAGATTGTTTTATTTTAGAAAAATAGTTTGGTGTTCTCATGTGGTAGTTTTCCAGATAGAGTAGATCCTCAGAGTTACAAACACCAGAGTTATGAACCACACACCTCATTTGGAACTGGAAGTACACAATCAGGCAGCAGAGACCAAAAAATAAAATAAAAAGTAGTACTGTGTTAAATGTAAACTACTAAAAAAATAAAGGGAAAGTTAAAACAATTGACAAGGTAAGGAAACTGTTTCTGTGCTTGTTTCGTTTAAATTAAGATAGTTAAAAGCAGCATTTTTCTTCTGCACAATAAAGTTTCAAAGCTGTATTACATCAATGTTCAGTTGTAAACTTTTGAAAGAACAAACATTTTGTTCAGAATTATGAACAACCTCCATTCCCGATGTGTTGGTAACTCTGAGGTTCTACTGTATTTATTTTCCTTGCCCCACCACTGTTCCATCTGGCAAAACACAGTATTTTGTTACCATTTTTTAAACACATGAGAGAGAACATTTTTGGAGAATAATGACTCTTCAGTTCCCTGGGCTGAAAATTAGCCTGATCTAAATAGTTGAAATCACAGAGTAGTAAGTAAAGAACAGAAAAGTGGTTTTGAATCCAGGCCACGAATCAGTTCACCTGGGGCACAGACATGCCAAGCAAACTATAGTTATGGCAGCTCTTTTTGTTGTCCATTTATTTTTCCTAGATTCCCCCTTGTAAAAAGCAGGAATTTTATTTTTTATACATAGGGCTCTATGAAAATCAGAGCGAAAGATGATAGATTTCATGGTCAAAATTGCATATTTCATACTTGGTCACAGCTTGCTGGGAAAAGGTACAATACTGCAGAATAATTTGCCTTGTTTAAAATACATGGTTA